AATGCACGAAACAATTCGAAGTTCAAAATGGGTATAACAGATTAACAGTAAATTAAATAATTTGTAACCCAATTTTATTTTACAAGTTTTTTCACGAAATCTTCTCGCATGTCCTCTCGGTTTTCTTGGCCAATTGTCGTAAAATTTTGTACTGCGTTCGAATATGCTCGCTGTCTATGTGAAACATTACAATTGTTAAACGATTACTCTTATACTCGTTTTTATGACTTATGAAAAATATTTTTTCATGACCTTTGTTTTTATTAAAAAATTGTAATAATGTCATTACACATATTAAGCTATAGCGGCATACAAACAATTTTCAACTTAAGGTCGCAACGGAAAAAGTAATATATCAACAAAAAATAGTAACTAATTGTGTATAGACAATGGCTTTGTATTCAAAATAACAATTGTCTCAATTAATTGTAAAGTGCGACAGGTACACAAATATTTGATTTACTCAATTTTATTACGAATACATGAAATCCACAGTCTAGTTATGTATCAACGTTTTTCGAGTGGTGACTCTGAGGAACCACTAAAATTGTTATATCACGTTCCAAGGTAATTTTTATATTATCAAAGTTTAGATTTAAGAAATTGTTAAAAGTGTAACTGTTGTATGAATCGCCGCGAGACTCAATTTCATATGCATAAAATGCACTTTGTCATATAAAATAAAAATACTATAAGCCAGAAAAATTATTTTAGATTTACAGTTAAAGCGACTTCGAGTACAAAGGGTTAATATTAATGAAATATGTGAAAATTTAAATTAACTGTCGGATACTTGATATTCGAATGCCAATTTCTCAACGGTGGGTCCAAATGGACCCCGAGTTCCACAGTTCGAGTGTTAATCCTTTTATTCAAAGGCATTTAAACTCTAAATGCAATCTGGTTTCTCTGACGTACAGTATTTCCATTTTATATGACATTTTAAGCATATAATATATTTATGCTATTTATATATTTATACTTTTAATAGATTTTTAAATATGAACAAATCTGATAATGTAGAAATGATTTTGGAATATGATATAACATGCGATATAACAATGTTAACTCAAGTGCAAAGTGTTAATATATTTGAATTTACTCCTCCAATCTTTATTATATATCAATAAATGAAACGCAAAAAAGGCTTATTAATCAGTGTAACGCGAAAAACGGTGCCTGCCTCTATTGGTACGCAATGCACGTTTTCAATACCGTCATAACACGGCGATAAAACGTCGAATATAACCGATTTGCAATTCGCAACATGACACGCAGTCGCGAGAATTTCATATTTTACAACGGTGCGATGCATTACCGGCAATGATGTTTCCGGTTTTTCGTTACTTCGCGTATCAAGACAAATTAGAAAGATGTTATCCGAAGCTTATTCGTTTCATAATTGTGGCACGATTAAATTACTTCGTATAATACGAAGTAAAATAAAATGAAAAACGAATAGTAATCGATGCCAGTTTATGACAAGTGCCCCTTACAGGCTTTTTTTCAACATGTAATTGATCGTTACATAATTATAATTACTAAAATACTCTATTATCCATTATTATTTAACTACTTTTATTTTCATTACTACAAATACTTTTTAGCTTTTGTGTTCTATAACTAATAATTTGAATGCGTTTTTAATGCATTTGTAACAAATGAATGTAACATATGAATGTAAAATGGCATTGAAACAGTTCGAAAATATTATTGTATTATTGTCAATGCATTGAAATGGTTAAGAAAAGAAGTATGCAGGGTGTACATTGAGAACTTGAAATTTAAATATCTCGTAAACGACATATTTTTTGGAGAAATGTTAAATACAAGAGTTACTCGATTTCAAAATTCCCCAAAAAGATAAAAAAAAATAAAGAAGTTTCATAATTAAACAAATTTTTTATTCTATTGAATATCCTAATAAGATAAAATCTGATTTAAAAATGTGTCATACAAAAGTTTATTCTTTTTTCACGTAGAATAAAAGTCTGTAAGTAAAAATATAGATTTCTACTTAAATAAACAAAGTTACCCTACAAATAACTTTCAAAGCGGTTAACAAAAAAAGATTAATAAAATAGTTGTATTTCCACTTTAAAATCGAGTAACTTTTGTATTTGACATTTTTCCCGAAAATTTGTTGTTTTTGAGATATATTTACATTTAAAGTTCTCAAATTAGCACTCTGTATGTCTGTGTAGCTCCTGCATCTTGCAATTAACGGTGACAATTTTGAATATTTCTTATCTCCGATTTTCTACATCGTTCTTATGTAATATAATCTGACTCTACATATGATTCTTTTGTACATAATGACTGTATTTAATGCTTTCATAATTTTTGTTCAAAAATTTAATTTATTTCACAAAGAAGGTTTGCGAATACACACACACAGAATTCATATGTTACATCTTTCACGATTTGGAGGTGAGCTATACACTTACATTACCATAAATAAAATAACGTGTACCTATGGTTTATAACATAATTTAAGATTTACAGTATCTGCAATTGTTTGTAGGGAATAGCTTTCAATTGAGCGTTTTATTAACCTGATATACGATGATGTCATCACAAAGATTATATAAACAAACTCCGTTAGATATGAAATGCACCTTTGAAATTCGAAGCAGCACTTTTTTCTACGTTCTGCGATTACATTTACGGTGACGATTTGAACAGCATGACACGAATATGTGGTATAAGAATGTTTCCGTGCACAGTAGCGATAAGATATCCGGGTAATGCAAATGTTACATTTAATAATCGTTTGGGGTTAAAAATAAAGTCTGAGAATGATTATCAGATAACTTTTATGCAATAAAAGTGACGCCTTTTTCTACGTATGTGCATACATAGAAATGCATGCATGTTCTTTTGAACATGTTGTTAAAGATAGCCTAAAATTCAGCCATCAAGCCTTGAGAAATTACCATCACGATTCATACTTGTAGTAGCAAAACTATACAGGATGTCCCTAAAAGGTATGTACAAACGGACACCAGTTGATTCCTCATGAAAAAACTGCTATTGGTGTAAAAATAACTAAATGTAACAAGAGCAAATGTATTGTACATATTCTATGAAATATAAGAGTTTAATGAATATTGTTGTAATCTGTACTTGGTGTCTCTGAAAAGTATATATAAGTGGGCACCAGGTGATTTCTCATAAAAAAAAACATGTCAAAAATACAGAATAGCTTTTTTGGGGGGGGATTTAGTTTGCGAGAAAATCGAGTTTGAATATTCAAACTATGTTTCTTTTTTTGTCGTTTCGCGCAATAACAAAACTAAAGAAAGCATTCCAGTTATGATCTAGTGGACCTCTAGCATCTAAAAGACATTAATGGGATTCACTGTAGCATCATTAATGTTCGGATAACTTTTAAAACGCAATAACTTTTTTAGGACTAGACTAATTTTTTTAGATGCTAGAGGTCTATTAGACCATAACTAGAATACTTTTTTAAATTTTGCTATTGCGTGAAACGATAAAAAAAAAATAAGAAACACATGTTTGAATATTCAAACTCGATTTTCTCGCAAATTAAATCCCAAAAAAAGCTTTTCTGTATTTTTGACATGTTTTTTTATGAGGAATCACCTGGTGCCTTCTTATATATACTTTTCAGAGACACCCTGTATAGCTTACAACAGTATTCATTAAACTCTTATATTTCATAGAATACGTACAATACATTTGCTCCTGTTACATTTATTTATTTTCACATCAATAGCAGTGACGTGCAATAAAAGGAACTATAATTTTTTTGAACCTTTATCTCGATGGTGACGTATCTTCCGATAGTGTGATATATAATAAACATTTTTAAACCAACGCCACAGATAGAATAATAATCTTTCTGTTGTCAATATTCCGTTGATCTCCCGGATTATCGAGCTTTATGTTATCTATCCTTTTCTTTAAGCATTTGCGCGGTAGCACGCTATACTAGTAAATTAAAGGGAAAAACAACACTATCGAGTAAAATAGTTAATCCATTATAATTAATTAGTATTAGTTATTCATACAGATGTGCGTATTTCTTGCTAGACCTGTCTCTTTAATCATTGTAATAGGTTAAAAATAACAAATTGGCTTACTTAAATTTTTTTCATTTTCCTATTATTTCAATTTTCATCTAAATACATACAATACACAATTTACTAATTTCGGTAGTAAAATTCATTCTCAAATGCAGCATGATATAAATTCAATTTGCAAATGACTACTTCTGAGGAAAATAAAACTTTAAATCTTTCGTCTTACAAAGGTATACAATCTTAATTTTATAACCAAATAACAAACTGTTCTCATGTCTACCTACATCATGTCTATATTCTTGTACATTCAGCGATATAATCTTACCGATTTCAATATTTTAAAATAAATTCGAATCCTTATTCGAATAATCGTTTGTTCGAATTTATCGAATTTGAATCAATTCAATTAATTCTTTTCTCGTACAAATTATTCGAATAAATTCTAATAATTCTTTATTCGAATAAATTATTCGAATAAATGGATAGAATAATTTATAACGTATAATAAATAATTATTACTCGAATAACATATTCGATTGAAAGTTATTCATTCGGATAATTGTCTTAGATAAATATTGATTCGAATAATGCCCGGCTCTGGCAATTATATCATCGCCGAAGAGGACTACGTTTCGTTACAATTCCATATTAATCGGCGTTTCGTGGCATTAGGATCGACGAGATCCGTTAAAGACGCGCGGGATCCATTAAGCTGCAGCGTGTCAAGGATACGGTGCCGCGATCACGGTCCGCGGATCAGACATCCTCCGGGATCGTGGTCGTGCAAAACGCGGGCCGCTGCTTTTGAATGAGTTTTTGAGTGAACAAGATTGGTGGGGTTACGATGATGAAGAGGTTGAAGGTGGCGGAGGTGAGAAAGGGGGGATCCCGCGTGTCGATTGGGGGGAGGACAGCAGTGGAGAACAGCGATATATGAAGGCGAAACTGCCGCTCCACAGACTCAATAGCCCAGAAACTCCACATGGTGTACTGTCGAACACGGTGGATTCGCGTGCGACAGAAACGACAGTTTGTTTCAACCTCTTGTTCATTCCTTTTGCGTTATTGTCGAACTCTTTTCGTTCCTCTTTTCTCGTTCGTTATTCCACAAGACTCTCCGCTGCTCGAGTCGAATCGCGTCTACTGTCACGAACTGCCAGTATCCGAGGTGACAAGCAATTGCCGATCGTTTTCGCTAGTTTCGACAGGGAGTTTCTTGTGAACGGTGATCGATGAACGATATTTCCTCGGGAAATGCTAGGACCGTATCAATGAGAGCATCGTCCGCTGCCGACCGGATCTAGTGACAAACCGGAAGAAGGGTACTAGATTCGGGGAAGCTTTTGTTCTTCGACGAGTGTGTAACGTGACAACGATGGGAAAGGGTTGGAAAGGTATGTTGATTGTTCTTGTTTCGAGAGAGAGGTTTTCGGCGACGCGGAACACGTATTTTCAGTGATTTGTTTGTTGGTTTATGCGTGATCATGGCAGTCGTGACTTCGAGTCGTTGTTCAGGGTTTGTTCTCAGTATTTATAGTTAGACTGCGGATTTTTATACAAAATAAGAATTGCTTGTATTAATTGCAAGATACAGAAACGCTGCACAGACATTTCTTTCATTATTTGATTATTTTATAGTGTTGGAAATAATGGAATAGTATTTGTGAATTCTTTAATTGTGTTCGCTTTTTTATATTTGATCTGCTGATTTTTGTCATAAATGTATAAAATCTGCTATCTTCTCATAGCTATTAATTTATTATTGTAAATGTAATTCTCGCTGTATTATATAATTGGCGCAGTCGTGTGCGTTTCCTGTTATTTCAATATTCATAGTTGATTTTTAATAAGTAATTTAATTAAGTAATATATAGGTAATACCATTTTTATTACGTGATCTATTTCGAAGCTTTGTGAATCATATTTTTCAGTTACACAAAAAATATCTTTGTGTGATCAAATTT